TGGGGCTGGTAGGGAGGGGAATGGGTGTAGGGTGGGGGTGGGTCGTCATATGGGGTGTCGAGAAAATTGAGATCTTGTGGGGAAACGGGTTGACCGTATGGGAAGCAAGATTCATCGAACACGACGTGGCGGGACGTAATGATTTTGTGGGTGTCAAGGTCAAGGCAACGGAACCCGCGTTGGTTAGAGGGATAGCCGAGAAAGATGCAGCGGGCGGAGCATGGAGCTAGTTTGTGAGGGGAGGTAGCGGAAATATTGGGGTAACATAAGCAACCGAAAACGCGAAGGTGGTCGTAGGTCGGTGGGGAGTTGAAGAGGGTGGCGTGGGGGGTTTTGTTCTGTAAGGTGGTGGTGGGAAGAATGTTAAAGATATGGGTTGTCATGTGGAGGGCCTCGACCCAGAAGGTGGGTGGGAGTTGGGCTTGAAAGAGTAGGGAACGAACCGAGTTGTTAATGGTACGAATGGTGCGCTCTGCTCGGCCGTTCTGTTGACTGGTGTGAGGACACGAGAAACGAAAGAGGATGCCTAAAGAGTCAAAAATATTTTTGAATGGGGAATTACGGTATTCCTTTCCACTGTCACATTGAACTGCTTTTATTGTTGTGGTAAATTGATTTTTGACATATGCTACAAATGAAGTTAAATGATTAAAAACATCACTTTTATGTTTTAAAGGAAAAACCCAAAGATAATGAGAAAAATCATCCAACAACAACATATAAAATTTAAAACCAATAATACTTGGAACAGGGGACTGCCACAAATCTGTATGTAATAGTTGAAACTGAAACATTGAAACACGACTAGAGGAAGAAAAAGGGAGGCGCACATGCTTTCCCAATTGACATGCATGACATAAGGAATGTTGATAACTTTTAAAAAAAGGAAGAGACGAAATATTGCTGAGGACAGTTTGACTGGGATGGCCTAGGCGCCGGTGCCAATCGACAGCGGCGACGTTGGCTTGAGCGGCGACTGAGCGTCCTAGGGGGTAGAGGGGTCCCAGATCATTAGAGCGATGTATCACGGTGCCCGTCTGACGATCCTTCACAGAAAAACCATTAGCGTCAAATTCAACAGAACAGTTATTATCGTGAGTGAGTTGACGAACAGAGATGAGGTTGTGGGTGATGTGAGGAGAAATAAGAATATTTTTAAGGGATAGGGAAGGGGTGGTGGGGAGGGTGTGGCTACCAACAGCCGTAGTGCTAACCTTAGACCCATTACCAACAGTGATATATAATGGTGAGTGTAAAGATTGAGAATTAACATGACAAATAGTACCTGGGTCAGAGGCAATATGATGGGATGCACCGGTGTCCATATACCAAGAGGGTTCACGGAGAGATAGGGTGTCAAAGTGGTGTGCAAGGGCTGTGGGGGTGGGTGTTTGGGTTGTCGGGTGGGGCTGTGGGGGTGGGTACTGCCCTATGGCAGTGGGGAGAGGATACGGGTATGGGGTGGGGTGAAAGGGGGGGCTGTCGGGTAAGGATTTGGAGTGTGGAGCTGGACAGGGGAGGGGGCTAGGGTGTACTAGGCGTGGGCGGGATTGGGGTGGTTGGGGCGGGGACCTAGGAGGCCCGGGTTAGGGTTAGGGTTTGGTGAGTTCCAGGTATTGTTGCCGTCGTAGGATTGCCGCGGTTGTGAGCAGTTTTGACGTCCGCGACCTCGCCCCCGATTTCCACCGCCACGGCCTTGGCCTCGTCCGTAGCCTCCACGTTGACCGGAGTTACCGTCACCATAGCCCGTGCCGCCAACACGGTTCGTGAGAAGAGCCATGGTGCCTGAGTCGGTGGGACTCGTCCGTTGGCGATCCAAAAGCATGACAGCAGAACGGACCTGCAGAAAAGTAGGCATGGGATCCTGGAATTGCATGAAAGATGTTTGTGCCTAAAGATCTGCAAGGAGACCACGAAGCATCTGGAGAACAAGTTGGTGCTGGGAGATTGGTGCATCAACATCGTCCAGCCAGTCGGCCAGATTCTGCAATTGTTGGCAATAAGCCGCCATGGTGGAGTTGCCTTTGACGGTTGTGCGGAATTCATGCTCCAGCTGCATGGCCCTGGCATGTTTGTTGTCGTGGAACAAGTTGTGAACGACTTTCCAGAGAGCAGAGGCAGTAGAAATAGAGGAGATTACCAAATCTGAGACCTCATCGGTGATGGTAGAGAGAATCCAACCCTGGAGGAGAGCGTCGAGTTGGAACCATTTGTCGTCGTCATCGGAGAGGGGGACAACGGAACCGTCGATGTAGCCCTGAAGATTGAATCGCCTGACTAAGAGGAGGAACAGACGACTCCACTTCTTGTAATTAGATTGAGAGAGGCTGAGTTGAACAAGAACGTGAAGTTTCACGTTGGAGACAGTTGTGAAAGCAAGATGTGGGGGTTTAGAGGAGAGATTTTGAGAGGTGACCTCGCTTACTTCGGCCATGGTGAGAGAAAGAGGAGAAGGAGGTTGCCGGTTGTGTGGGAGTCCGAGTTCGCCGCTGGTTTGGCAGCCGCAGGAGGAGGCGGCGCAAGGAGGAGGGCGGCGGCGTGACTAGGCCGAGATTAGGGTTTTGTGTTTTTAGGCTCTGATACCATGTAGAAAGATTATTTTCATTGAAAGAATATGTGGGAGTACATGTGTTTATATAGACATAATGTAGAAAGATTATTTTCGTTGAAAGAATATGTGGGAGTACATGTGTTTATATAGACATGAGATTCCTATTCCTATACAAGGTAAGAGTCAATAATAGGAAACAATATATTTACATTAAATATAGAATATATTTAACAATTAACAAAAAGGGAATTGGATGGAGTGAGTTTATCATGGATATTTGTGGGAGATTTAAAGATGAACTTGATAGTAAGGTCATAGAGGATTTCAATAAATTGACTCAAGAGGGATCAATTGAGGAGTACCTGGAAAGATTTAAGGAACTGAAATCCTTAATGCTGCAGAGAACCCCCATGCTTCTTGAGGACTACTTTATAGGTAGCTTCATAGGTGGTTTAAAAGCCCAAATTAAACCGTTTGTGAAGGCTCTTAAACCTCAAACTTTGGATGAGACTGTTCAATTGGCAAGGTTACAAGAAGAATCTTGGCAAGCCTCAAGGAAAGCATCAAAAATATTCTCATCTAAAACTCAGCCCTCCTCTGCTCTACTTCCCACACCAAAAGGAACCATCAGCGATCAAAGTAATAACTCTTGGGCTGGGGATAGAAATCTGAATAAGTCAGACGCAACAAAGAGTGACACCAGCTCAGTAGGCGCACTGCTAGAAGCTTCAGACCCACTAAGGTTTTATCAGCAACTGAAAGGGCAGAAAAAACTGCTAAAGGGTTGTGTTATTTCTGTGATCAACCGTATGAGAAGGGTCATATTTGCCAAAATAAGAAGACATAGTTGTTTTTGGTTGAAATTCCGGGAGAGGATGGAACAGAAGAGGTAATGGAAGTAGAGGAAGGATACTCAGAGGATGTCAAGGGGTTTGAAGTCATGGAGACAGAACCTTGCATTTCCTTTCATGCTGTCAATGGCATTGCTGGATATCAAACCATGAGAGTTACGGGTCATTATGGAAGGAAGGCCATATAGATCTTAATAGATTCTAGAAGCACCCATAATTTTTTGGATATTAATTTGGCCAAGAAGATGGGCTGCAAGTTAGAGGCCATTGCATTGCAACCAGTGACTGTGGCGAATGGTAATACATTACAATGCCAGTATATGTGCAGAAACTTCAAGTGGAGGTTGCAGGGCACTGACTTCAGCACTGATATGTTTTTAATTCCCCTAGGCAACTGTGATGTAGTCCTTGGAATTCAATGGCTTAGTACACTTGGTACTATTAAGTGGAATTTCAAAGACTTACAAATGGAGTTCAGTTTCAAAGGGAAGGGACATTTGTTGAGAGGGTTACGCAGCACCAGGGTTAAGGTTTTGGAGAAATCTCAAGTATCAAAAGCAAGGGATGAATCATGCCACCTCTGTATGATCCAGTATATCCCTGCTACAGAGCTATTTGATGCCCAAATTCCTGAGGAAAAATGGCAATGCTTCTCCATGACAACTGAAAATACTCATTTAGCCATTACTGAAGTTTTGCTGGAATATGACGAGTTGTTCAAAGAACCCAAAGGCTTACCACCATCCAAAGGTGTGTTTGATCATAAAATACCATTAAAACAAGGAACTACCCCTATAAGCATCAGACCCTACAGATATGCACTTAAACAGAAGGATGTAATTGAAGGATTGATTGAAGAAATGCTAAAAAAGGGAATCATTCAACCCAGTTCTAGTCCATTTGCTTTTCCTGTGGTCTTGGTGAGCAAGAAGGATGGGACATGGAGATTATGTGTAGATTATAGATAGCTGAACAAACAAACTATCAAGGATAAATTTCCCATTCCACTAGTGGATCAGCTCATATACGAGTTGGCAGGAGCTCAAATATTCAGCAAGATTGATCTAAGGCAAGATTGATCTAAGGGCAGGTTATCACCATATTAGGATGGCCAAGGAAGATATTTTCAAAACAGCTTTCAAGACTCACTCTGGTCATTATGAATTATTGGTTATGCCCTTTGGACTAACCAATGCGCCAGCCACCTTCCAAAGTCTTATGAATCAAGTTTTCAGGTCATTTCTCAGGAAATTTGTCCTGGTCTTCTTTGATGACATCCTGATTTACAGCCCTTCCTTAGAGGCTCATGTAGACCATCTAAAGCAAGTGTTTGAGATTATGAAAATCCACACGCTGGCTGCCAAGGCTTCTAAGTGCTTGGTGCAAGAAGGGTGGAATACTTGGGACACTTCATTACAGGGGAAGGAATCTCCACTGACCCTGGAAGATTAAGGCAGTACAAAAGTGGCCTAAACCTACTAATCTGAGAGAGCTCAGAAGTTTTTTGGGTTTGGCTAGCTATTATAGGAAATTTGTTAAGGGGTATGCTGTCATTGCCAAACCCTTGACACAGTTACTGAAGAAAGGAAACTTCAATTGGACTTGTGAAGCAACAGATGCTTTTGAGAGACTGAAGAAAGCATTAACCACTGCCCCAGTGTTGGGATTCCCAAACTTTGCTAAAACATTTGTGGTTGAAACTGATCCGTCTACTTATGGAATTGGGGCTGTACTCATGCAAGATAAACATCCCCTAGCCTTTCTAAGTAAAACATTGGGTCCAAAATGGCAGCAGTTGTCTGTGTATGAGAAGGAGTTACTGGCAGTAGTTCATGCCGTACAGAAGTGGGAACAATACTTGAGCAGTGGTCCCTTTGTGATCCTTACAGATCAAAAAAGTCTAAAGTGGTTAATGGAGCAAAAAATCTCAACTCCCTTCCAACAATTTTGGTTATCCAAGCTTATGGGTTTCCAATATGAGATACAATATCGCAGTGGAGTGGAGAATGTTGCAGCTGATGCTTTATCAAGACTGAAGGGTTCAGAGATCTTGGCAATGACTTTGTCAGGAGTACAGTCAGTCAGATGTCATATCCTCAATTAAGGCCAGTTATCTTCTGGATAACAATTTGAGGGAAGTTTTGGCAAAATTAAGGCAAGGAACAACTGTCAGCAAGTATGGGCTACAAGGAGACATGTTAAGAAGGAAAGGAAGATTGGTAATTGGGCCAGACCAAGAATTAAGGAAACAAATTCTAAAATGGGTTCATAACTCACCCACTGGAGGTCACTCTGGTAGAGATGCTACCCTTAAAAAACTCAAAGGGTTGTTTTGTTGGAAGGGAATGACCAGAGATGTACAACACCATATCCGGCAATGTGTGACCTGTCAAAGTTGCAAATATGAAAACAGTCCTTATCCCGGGTTATTACAGCCCTTACAGATACCAACTGAGGTCTGGAGGGACGTCTCCATGGACTTCATAGAGGGGTTGCCAAAATCTAGAGGAAGGGAAGTCATTATGGTTGTAGTTGACAGGTTTAGCAAATATGCCAATTTCATAGCTTTGGGACATCCATTCTCTGCAGCAGAAGTGGCACAAGCTTACTTGGACAACGTGTTTAAGTTACATGGATGGCCCCAAACCATTGTGAGTGATAGAGACAAGATATTCTTGAGTGAATTTTGGAGGGCATTAATGACAATCTAAGGAACTGAGCTGCTGCTGTCAACGTCCTACCACCCACAAACTGATGGCCAGACAGAGGTAGTTAATAGGTGTGTGGAAACCTATCTCAGGTGTATGAGCAGTGAACATCCTAAGGAGTGGAGCAATTGGCTGCCATTGGCTGAATGGTGGTACAACACTTCATTTCATTCCTCCACTCAAATGACACCCTATGAAGTTGTGTACAATCAACCACCTCCCATTCATCTTCCATACCTGCCTGGAGAAACTAAAATAGAGGCGGTTGACAGGTCTTTGCAAAGAAGGGAGGCAATGATACAACTATTGAAATTTCAGTTGTTGAGGGCCCAACATAGAATGAAGACTCAGGCAGACAAACATAGAGCTGAAAGACAGTTAGAAGTGGGTGAGTGGGTCTGGCTTAAACTGCAACCTTACAGGCAGAACACAGTGCAAGCAAGGGAGAACCAAAAGCTAGCTCCTAAATTCTATGGGCCATTTCAAGTGCAGGCCAAGGTGGGGCCAGTGGCTTATAGGTTGAAATTACCCTCCTCTGCACAGGTGCATCATACCTATCATGTATCATAACTCAAAGCTTTCAAGGGGATTCTACCTAAACAACCACACATTCCAGGGTGGTTACAGGGTAAAGACACGGCTGTTACTATCAAACCTATAGAAATATTGGAGAGGAGAATGATCAAACAAGGCGATAAGGCAGTTGTGCAGTACTTAGTGCAGTGGGAAGGCCAGAGTGTGGAGGATGCTTCATGGGAGAATGCCAAGGAGATAGAACAAAGGTTCCCTAAGGCTTTTGAGAAATAATGAAGCTGAGTTGTGATAGCTGCTACTCTAGTGAATCCTGGGCATGGGGCTGCCCTCTTTTAAGGGGGAAGGAATGTTACAGGGATGAAAGTTTGTTACGTTTGTTGAAGTTTGTTAAGTCTGTTTGGGTTGTTGAGGTTTGTTGAGTTGTTGTAATAGGCCTATAAATACCCCATTCTGTAGTCTGTAAATCAAGTTGTGATAATAATACAAGTCCACTTTCTCTCTCTTCCTTTCATCTCTCTCGTCTTATTTTCTCCTTAGGCGAATTGATTCGCCATTAACAGTCATCCTCCAAGCTCTGTTCTTATTCTGTAGGAGCTTCCTGCATTGATTGTTAACACACAGTCGCAAATTTGGTGCGTGGGAGAAACGCAGGTCGGATCTAGGGTTAGAGGACCACCTGTGCAATGCTTTGCATATTAGAGGGGTGATTGCTGCACTTTTAATTGTTTAGGGGTAAACCGTGCACTTTCGGAGAAGTTCGGGGGTAATCTGTGCACTTTTCTCTTTGTTAAAATGTAGCCTAATTATAGGCTTAGTTGTTCTACCATGTTAATTATCAGCTTCTGCCATCAGTTTTGACACTTACTTGACTCACATAGATACACTTAATAGCACTTGAATGTCTCGTGATTTCATTGCGCTTTAGCCATCTTTGGACAGTAGATTTTGAAACCTCCAGAGCAAAGTTAAGTGCACGCATGTTCTTGTGGTTTGATAAAGGGATTATTGCCATTCTTTCTATGCCAA